CCGCCGCTCCCCGGAGCCCGGGCCGGAGCCCCGCGCTCTGCCTCGGTCCCCGACGGCCTCCCCGCAGCCGCCGCAGCCCAGGGCCCCGCGGGGCGGCGACGGGTCTCGGGAGGAGAAGGCGACCCCGCCTCCCACCCTGTACGTGCAGCTCCACGGAGAGACCACCCGGCGGCTGGAGGCGGACGAGAAGCCGCTGCAGATCCAAAATGACTACCTCTTCCAGCTGGGCTTCGGGGAGTTGTGGAGGGTGCAGGAGGAAGGCATGGACGCGGAGATCGGCTGCCTCATCCGCTTCTATGCAGGTACGGGGCCCCTTGCGCGTGGACGTGTGCGGTGTAAACACCGACGGGGACCGGGGGACGCGCAGGCCCTGGAGGCTTTGTTGTCACTTCTTTATAGCGTCCTCGTGCGAGCCGTGTGATTCGAAGTTGAGAGCCATTTTTAAATCCGGCAGTTTGAGTTAACCTGAGGCTCCGAGCTTGGAAAAGTATGTGCAGGAGATGGCGGTGGCAGGTCACCAGGAAGTGCAGGGAGAGTCCTGAAAGAGGCAGCAACACTTTCAGTGATAAAGGTGCTTCCTTGAGGCCCTCGTGGGCTTGGGGGGCTTTCAGGGACTGGCAGGAAGCAGACGTGCCCTAGAACACCCTCCACGCGTCGGCCTGTTGGCAGTTTGTCCTCTCGCTCTGAGTAGCCAGTACCATCAGCTGGGCATTGTCAACTGATGGCCTCGTTTATCCCTCTGCGGCGCTGGTTGGCCCACCGAGCTCTCAGAGTTTGGTGATACTTCAGAACCCTATCTTAGTTTGGCTTTGTGTCAGTTTCCTCTGCAGATTTTATTCTTGCCTCAAAAAATAATTATATCTGTTTCTTTCTCCCAGTTTTTCTTCCAGACCTAGTCAGAACTGACCGTTGCATAGCGCTTGTTACAAGAATGTGATCTGAAACCCTTCCCAGCAGTCAAAGTCTTGACCAGGGGTGGCCACTGTAATATTTCTCTTTGGCTGAAGCCTTAGGTAGCACTCAGGGAGCTAGCTATCCTGGTTTTTAAGTTGAGCATTGTGGGTTGCTTCCTTTCCTTTCTTTGAGTTGAAGAACTGAACTCTTCATGATAAGGACTTTTATTTAAAATCAAGTTAACGCGAAACCCACTGCCACCGAGTCCTTTCCAACTCGTAGTGATGGGGTAGAACTGCCCCTTTGGGTTTCCAAGGCTGGAAATCTTTAGGGAAGCATATAGCCACATCTTTCTCCTGCGTAGTGGCTGGTGGGTTCGAACTGCCAACCTTTGGTTAGCAGCTGAATGCAGTGCTTCCTCCACTGCGCTGCCAGAGCGCCTTCAAGTTAGCACATCAGAATCAAATCAGGAGAGTTAAACCTCTCCCACAAGGAGAAAATGACCCTCCTTGGGACTCCCTGTGGCTATAGCCCTGCTTTCAGATTTAGTACATTCTTTTTTTTGGGGGGGGTATCCAACTCCACCCTTGTACTATTTCAGTCTGTCTGAATGAAGAGTCTTTTATGCCCATGCAGAAATAGGTAAGGCAAGGTGTATTCCTGGTGGGATGAGCATTTGAGTTTCATTGATGTTGGTCTGAAATTCATCAGTGGATTTCTGACAGATTTTTGCCTGGTGAAGAAAATCAGATCATAATACAATAGCATTTGCAGTGTCTGAGTGTAATCTCGCAGCTGGATGGCACGGCCTTTGAAGTTTATGACCCAGAAAAGATGATTTTTCAAGTAGGAGCAACAGCTATATGTAGTGTGTGTAATTTGTAAAATATTGCTACTTTTATAGAAGCATTACATTGTACTCACACACGGAAAAAGAATGTTGACATGAAAATGACAAATGCCCTTCCATCCAACAGTTAAATTTGAATAAAACGGGATGTTTTAAATAAACAGTGTTTGGACATAATCAGTATAGAAAGAGATCTGCAAGTTTTGTTCCTGATTAGATAATGTTTGTTGATCCTGACAAATAACATAGCTGTGGGAAAGGTTTAGGGTGTTACAGTCATGAAACTTAGGTCTTTGATTCCCGTTGGTTATCTCTTTCAGAGTGTCTAAAGTATTCTAAGTGGATGATAATGCAGCTTTTTTGTTTCTTGACTTAATCTCAATTTAAGAATGCTAAGTGCACTTTCTGCTTAAATCTTGACTGACTGATAGTCATTTTAATCTTTTTGTTTTGCTCTTTATGAAAAGCAGTAATGATTACCTCATTCTGAACCCATCTGCTTTCCTGCCATATCACACGCATGTAAATATATGTCTCTCTGTGTCTATGTGTGTAAAAATACCTAATAAAACAGGATGTCACACATAGCATCCGACCTATTTTGAACACAGAAGCCAGTGTACTAATGTCATAGAGGGAATCTGGCGGATTGTTAGAAAGATGTCTAATTGCCTCTTCTGTTTTTCATACAAGCTGAGCTTCCTTAAACTAAATTTATAAAATTAATGTGTCAAACCTCTCTGTATTAATATTCATTTGAGAACACCACGCAGCGTATGGCGAGTGCACTGGAACTTTTACAGGGAGGTTCCATTGTGGAACAAAAAGGCCTTGTGGTCAGGGGGTCTCACCTCTGTGAGAGTGTTGTCAGGACTATGTGTGTGAAGGTTGCACCAGGCTGGAGAACCCAGGAAATGCCCCTGTGCTCCAGTGCAGTGTCCGGCCCCACCAGGAAAGTGTGCATTTTGGTTGTCATTGCTTTCCTGTGGAAGAACCAAAAAAAAAAAAAAAAAAAAAGCTCACTGCGTGGGGTCGATGCCACTCATAGCGACCCCTCCTTGGGTTTCCAAGGCGATATCACCGTGGATGACTCTCTGTAAGAGTGTGAGA